TCTAACCCATGCTGCCCCATCTGGACTCTGGCTTCCTCCTGGTTCCTCCAGCCTCTACCAGCTAGGCGGAAAAGGGATTCTCGAAAGGGCTCTGGGCGCTGGAGAGCCCAGGTGCTAAGGTGTGGATCTGAGAGAAGTCCCTCACGGCAGGCCACAGGGCCAGAGGGTGCACCTGGCACACACCAGACACACACCAGGGGTTGGCTGGGCAGAGGGTGTGCTCTGGGCAGATGTGCCACAGGCCACATCGAAATCCAGCCCCGCAGCCTCTTCCTAGAACCTAGGGCACCAAACCAGGCTCCCTCTGCCCCTCGTGTTCTCAGAGCCCCTAGAACAGTGGTTCTCAACCTTCCTAATGCCGTGACCCTTTAATACAGTTCCTCATGTTGTGGTGACCCCCAACCATAAAATTATTTTCGTTGCTACTTCATAACTGTAATGTTGCTACTGTTATGAATCGTAATGTAAATATCTGATATGCAGGATGTATTTTCTTTGTTACAAATTGAACATAATTAAAACATAATGATTAATCACAAAAACAATATGTAATTATATATGTGTTTTCCAAAGGTCTTAGGTAACCCCTGTGAAAGGGTTGTTCGACCCCCAAAGCGTCGCGACCCACAGGTTGGCGACCCACAGGTTGAGAACTGCTGCCCTAGAAGCTGGCAGGCCAGCTCCCAGCCTGGCCCCATCCCCATCTCACTGTGTATGTGTGGAGAGGGGTCCCCTGCTTCAGGGCTTGGAGCAGGGCCCCTCTCTGGCATTGGCCATCTCTTTTGGCTGCCCTGGTGATTCTTGCTGTGGCTTCAGTGCCGTCCTCTCTGCTGGAAGGACAGACAGACACTAAGGACTCGAATGGGTATGTAAGTGGAGAGGTTTGGCAAGAGAGGGGTGAGCCCTCCCCCTCTCCTCCAGGACACAGTGCGGCAGGCAAACTGTGCCCTTCTCTCCCAGCAAAGCCCCTCCTGTTCCCAGGCCTCAGCCAGATACAACAGTACCTGTGTCTGTCCCCTAAGATCTTGGTTCCACCTCTGCTCATTTGCTTACCTGTCTCCCTCGTGAGGAACAAACTTACCGCATCATCACCCTCAAAACAGCACATCTCAGCTCCAAGATCTCCTCTGCCTTGAACCTCTGCCTGATTTCATTCTCCTCATCCCACCCAGTATGACCCCTCCACGATGCTGCAGGTGGGAAAGAGACAGTCTGAGCAGGTGGAACAGCAGATGAGTGGCAGGGAGACACTGAAGATGCCGGGCAAGAAATCAGTATGAAACTCCAAGACCGAAGGTGGGGGCTGAGGCTGGAGGAAGGGTAAGAAAGGTGGGAGAGGGCAGGCAATAGGAAAAGGAAAGTTCCTGGGGCACGAGTACCACGGTGGGGCTTGGGAAAGGGGGTGGCAGGAGCAGGATGAGCAGAGCGCTGTGAGCAGACTGCCAGGTGTCCCTGCACCCCAAGCACAGGTCTCTCGCTGGCCTTCCAGCTTTTCCTGGAATCACCCTCTTGCCCTCTACTCTGTCCCCGAGAATCTGGGATAGAGAGGCCAGAGTTCAGGGGTCCTAAGGAAGAGGTGGCCACTCACTCAGAAGCAGCTGTAGCAGCAGCAGCAGCAGCATCACGGGGCCCAAAGCAGCGGACGCTGCCGGCCTGCAGAGTGGAGGACAGCGCCAGGCAGAACCCCAGTGGGACAGGTGCCTTCTTCCCAGCCCTGCCTGAGCTGAATTGGGTAGAAACCCAGAGGCTGTGCTGACATGAGCACTCCTGCCACTGGGAGGAGCCTTTGCATGACTCCCTCCCCCACTGAGTCCCCACCCTAAGCCTCGCCTCAGGTAGATCCAGGAGCCTCTGAATCTAGAGCCTGAATTTCTAGTCAGTGGTTCTCAACCTTCTGGCCCTTTAAATACAGTTCCTCATGTTGTGACCCAACCATAAAATTATTTTCGTTGCTACTTCATAACCGTAATGTTGCTACTGTTATGAATCGTAATGTAAATATCTGATATGCAGGATGGTCTTAGGCGACCCCTGTGAAAGGGTCGTTCGACCGCCAAAGGGGTCGCGACCCACAGGTTGAGAACCGCTGGTTAGATGGACCCCCACAGCACCCTCCTCCCCACAGCAACACCTACAGCCACCCCAGGAAGCCTTGTCTCTCCCATTCTAAACCGTAAACTTTTTGAAACAACATTGTTCTTTGCCTTCTTTTATAATTTTATTAACTTTTTAAAAAATATGTTTTTATTGATTTTTTTTTTTTTTAAAGAAAGAGGGAGGGAAAGAAACATTGATCGGTTGCCTCCAGTACGTGCACCAGGAATTGAACCTGAAACCTAGATACCAGTATGTGCCCTGGCCGGAATTGAACAAGCGACCTTTTGGTGCACAGGACGATGCTCAACCAACTGAGCCACACCAGGCAGGACAATTTTTAACTTTTTATTATTAACTAATTTTATACTTGAACAAAGGTTGCAATAATGTTAGTGTTTGCTTTATACCTTTTACCCAGCTGCCCCTTGTGTTAACATCTCACATAATTAGAGTATAACTAGAGGTCCGAAACTGGCAGTCCAACATCCCCCGAGGGATGTAGCAGTGCGGGAAGCGGCAGGTGGCCAGGGAGGAGCCTGAACCGGGTGCTGCTCCTGCTCATCGGGGCCCCACTGCTATACTGCTGCGTAGCTCTGCCACGGAGGCAGGAGAGGCTTGGGCCACAGCAGCTGCTCTCGCCAGCAGTGAGCCCGGCTTCTGGCTGAGCGGCGCTCACACTGTGGAAGTGCACTCACCACCAGGGGGCAGCTCCTGTGTTGAGTGTCTGCCCCCTGGTGGTCAGTGCACATCATAGCAACTGTACGACTGGTTGTTCGGGCGCTTACGCTTTTATATATATA